GTCATATGCTCTTGAAGACTGTAACCGCAAAAGTTCAACAAATGCTGTACCTTATTTCATTCAGACGAGCAACGTCAAACCACACAGGATTTCTCCTTGAAAAATCAAAGCATTGGACCTTTCTATTCAGGGTGTCTACTGAAATTATACATTTGAATGTAACACTAACAACAAGTAACACTCAAAGGAGGTCAACAATTAAAAAAGGCACATCAAACCCACCACGGTGAAAAAACACCACTTAATCCGCTTGCCTGTTAAGTGACCTTTTTCCCCACCCGTTTGGCCCCTCTCCCCTTTTTTATGAGACTAAAATTGAAACTTTTTCGCAAAAGTTCTCAGTCAGGCAGAACTCAAGAATTCTTGGATAATGAGACGTCGACTTGACCAAAATTTGAGGAAAAATGAGGAAAAAGGACGGCTGTATGGTACTCCAAGTTTTTTAACTTCACCATACCGACGAATATCATTTCAGCAACCATTGCTGCTTCCGATGTTTCAGACTTTGAATGTTCTGATGCCTTCCGAGGGAGATCGATCTAGAAGATCTGCGTTAAGACAATATCTGAATGTAAGCTGCTGATCCAGTCTACAATAAAGTAATTGATTGCATAATTTATTACAATAATAGGAAGAGGAAAAAGCCGAAAATCCGAATTACACTTTATTTTAGACATTACTGGATGTGAGGGAAAGCTTCTAGTCCAACCATATCGCTGATTTGCCGCCTGCATTTTTTCCCAAAGGGAACACGCTCCCAAATTAGAAGTGCAGAAGTGGGTATAGGTGCTGCAATGGAGACAAAATGACAGGGGTGCTATGCCGTACTCCTACACTAATTCCATTCCAGGTTCTTCAACAACGACTGATCCCTAACTATTAAGGCAAACTGTAGCACCAGGAAGGTGGTAGCCTGACGGTTACCAGGTGGAAATGGCAGCTAGATCTTGCGGAGTCCTAAGGGACGTACAGATGGTGAGAGTTGCGAAATGGTGAATCCCTGGGTACTGTAGGAGCTGGACCTGTGTTGAAATTGCTGTGCGTCGTGGGACCAGCTCTCCGGGTGCACTGTGTGTTATCCCACCCACAGGGATGTGGTGCAGTAGGAAAGAAATTGTCGCATCGCGACAAGAGAGACGCCGCACGCGAAGGAATGAAGCAGAATGCAGCAGCAAGTAAGAAATTCAGGCACAAAAGAACTAATAGTAGAATCCTGCCTAAAGTAAGGATTGCATATCGATTGAGCTGCATGAAGAACCGTTATAACGAGGCAAATGGTCCGCGACAGCCGCGTGCGGCGGATCGACTACACAAAACCGTTCCTACTGCCCGTCTCCCCGTTAGGACCCCTGACCTTAGAACACTAACCGGGTTGAGAACGATGTTCCGGTCTAGCAAGAAACCGGTATCAACCTCTTTGTACCGTTCGCAACTGGGAGACGTGCAGTATGATCGGTTTTGTGTAATTGATCTGCCGCGCGCGGCAGTCGCGGACCACTTGCCTCGTTATAAGAGTTCTAGCGTTCTTCATACAGCTCAATCGCTATGCGATTATTACTTTTGACATGATTCTACTGTAAGTTCTACTAGTCCCGTATTTCTTACCCGCTGCTGCATTCTGCTTCATTCCTTCGCGCGCGGCGTCTCTCTTGCCACGACGCAGCGATTTCATTCCTACTGCATCACACCCATCGTAACTCGATGTAAATCGATGGTGGTTTAGAAAGCGTTCTCATAAACAGCAATTGAAACTAACTCGTTGAAGAAGAAGATTTCCCGCTCTGTTTTGCAGCTGTCGTCTTACGCGCTCCATTGACAATTCCATCTTACGGTAGCGTTTGATGAGTTGAAAAGAAATTTGAGAGAAAACTTGTGCTCCTTCTGTATTTTGGTGTGTTTTTTTTCATTTTAATTGAGCTCGTTTGGGAAATCATTAAGTAAAATTGATGCTTAGCTTAGTATGGCGAATTTTGTAACGCGGGAGTGTATCCACGTGAATACAGTCCTATCTTCTAGTTGGGTTATGTGACTACTTGAACGTTTACATTGTTTCCAACTAGTCAGATGATTTTTTTTATGAAATAGAACTGGAAATTGGTGATTCCTAGTGGATAGATTAATTTAAATGTTCCTGGTCACAAGGACATTTGAATTAATCTATTCACTAGAAATCATCTGCGCTTGCTGCTTAAGTCCTTTTCATTTTGGCTAGAATACTCCATAATTAAGAGTTTGAAAACGAAAATTAAGTGCGTTTTGTGGTTGTATAGAGCTACCACTACAATAGGCGTTCCAACCATATCCCGAAGGTTTGCAAAACTTTGAAGACTTTCAAAATCTTCCTACCTGTAGCCTGTTATTACACCTTTTTGAACATTCATGAGTACATTGTACAGGAAAAGATTATGAGTTCAACTGAAGTTGAATTAGGAAGACGGGAAGGCTTTCTCATGTGAGCGTAACGGTGGTGCTCGACCTTTGGAGTTATTTAGCTCGTCATTAAGCATCATTGAACTTTTTCTCAGGTTCACTTCGCAGTCCTTTATTTTCAATTTATTGCGAGTTTTGATGTGATGGAATGGAGGTTAGAAAAGAAAGGTAAAAACTACAAATACTGAAGGCTTTTGAGCATTTTAGAAATGAATCTAATACATAAGTACAGATTTTCGCGGTTTAAACTCATTGTTCCGAGGAGTTGTTCCTAGTAGATTAAGGTACTCCAAAGTTTCCCACAGGTTTAGTATTAATCAGTAGGCGTATAAGCCAAAAATGTTCTCTCTCACCTTAAAAGGTATCATGGAACTAGTGGATTAGCAACAGCTTGTCACATTCCTTATCAGTGTGCTTACCCTCCTACAAATGATAAGGAGCAGTAGTTTTTCAATCAGGCCTTACTGCCGTTTTTGTATTTTCTTTTGGGACCATATTGACCAAATGATGTGACGAAAAATAGGTGCACTTTAAGGTGGATATTGATTTTACGCCCGAGGGAGCCTGGCAATCCCCTCTAAATGTCAAAGGTGACAGACAGAGTGTGATCGCAGTTTATTCACTATATTTGCATCCATTTGTTTTCCTACCACATTTGAATTATTTCTGCTGATCTAAAGTCAGAAAAATTTTATGTTCTAATCTATTTTGTTGTTTTTAGCGGTTGACATTCATCAAATCATCCGACAAATGTTTTCTTTACCCATTTTGCGATAAAATTCCTTTTTCAGATTGTTTATACTAGCAATTATGGGTCTGTTGCGGCGTTCCTGCTCCTTATTAATGCAACATGTTGCTCGCCCATCGTGTTCACGCTTTTCCAAACCAGTTGTTAACCCGATCAGGTATGAAAATCATCAACCTGCTTGATATTTTCATATTAATCGAGCAAAGCATTCAGAATGAATATTGGAGTACGGCGGCTCCATTGGTCCAGCATATTTCATGATACGGAGAAAACGAATAGGGAAAAAGAATTCGAACGCGGGGTCATTAACTCAAGAAAACAACTGAGAAAACGCCGTCCGCTCACAGCTCAAGTAAGATCTGTATGGGTGTTTTTGCTTCATTTTATGGAAAGGTAGCTGCAAACGTGCTCAATCGTTTTGTAGCTACGAGAACCAGAGGTGGTCGCGTTGGCTCTCTCAGAGTCTCTCGATCTTCATGGCATATCAACGGATCCGTCTATATCAAATATGTTCGACATTACTTACATTGACGAAGGTAGGTAGATCACAGGTTCTTGTTTTTGTTTCCCGGTATGGGCACTTGGGCGTGAGCTGGGAGCTGAGTGAAGGTCTATACGGCCGTATGAGTTCTAATCTCTAATCATGAATCTTCTTAATAAATCTGTTAAAAGTGGCTACAAAAGGAGTACGCACCTTTTTCTTCCTACAGTCTAGTTATCGTGCGGTGTTGTAAAGCTATGTGGCGAAACTTGAAGGGTTTGCTAGGTTTTTGCTGAAACCTTTACTAAAACCTTTACCAGCCAAAACTGTCTAGAAAAATCTCCCTGTAACGTATAATACAAACTAATGTTTATATTTTTGCATGGAAACTTTTCGATTTTGAAAACAACTATCCGTAGTCCCTTAACGCCTGGTCCCTTAAGTCTGTAGTCACCTGAATTGGCTTTTATGAAATCGTTTGAAAAATAATCGGCACATTAGAACGTAATCGATGGAGTGGTTCAAGAATGTTCTCGACATCTAACGTATCCACTAATAAGAATTTCTCTTGAAGATTCGGAAGATACCATCCATCTAGTCAAGAAGCTCGAGTATACCATCAATCCTACTCAAATCAATGAAATTTTCGTATTTCAAGATGGCGTCGTCGTTTTCTGGAACGTTAGTCACGCAGAGGTGATTTTATGAATTTGCAGTTCTCATTGATTCCTGATTAGCTGAGGATCGAGGGCGGATATCTAATTTTTTATTTGAGCGATTGTATTATTCACTATTCAGGTACTCGTAAGGATTTATTGTTGCTTTATTTTTGAACGTTTTATTTTACAATCCTTATCGCAGCTCTCGAAGCTGCCTGGCTTCTGTAGTTTGTCTGAGCTCGTTTAGCATTCAAACAACAGTTTTCAGCGAGCTCATGCAATACGTGATTTTGAACGTTACATGGAAGGTCCTTATGAGTCGTCAGTAACGATCGAAGAACAGGATACAATGCCGTTCTCTGTATTGGAGGGGTATGGCATTCATCGCTCTGAAATCTAAAAAACTCATTCCTACTTACTACCTCTCTCGAAAAATTCTGGTATTGGTTTCTGTTTTCTTTTTCATGATGCGGATTTATCGCAAGGTTAGTAAGTTACAAGCGAAACCAGAGCTCTAGCCGAGTCTCTCCCTATTGACGAAAACCAAGTAAGTCGTAAATATAGAGATTTCGGCTCAGTTCATGGCTAAAATTCTTTGTTAACTCAGCGGTATACAGAAGTTTGTTGCTCTTTTCATTGTTAGTAATGAAAAAGAAAGGCAAACTGATGTAGGCGTGTTTTGAAAGACTTATTTTTAGGCGCGACACCACCATCAAACATGATCGTTTCATTTTGAGTGGAGAGAAACATGGCAGTGAACATCGAAATTTTGATAGCGTATTGGAGCGATTTTCATTGAGTCAAGCCTTCGCTGCTTCAGGTTTTCATTTAGTTCCTTATGTTTCTAGCCTTTTCTCGACTTCTTAGCATTTTCATTCGTTTCAGTAAAGGTAGGAGTATGGGAAACACTGCTGAATGATCTTGCTGAACCTTTATCGGGTACCACGAAGGTAGGTTGTCTACAAATTAGAAAGAGTCAGTTGAGAACGAAAATTTGTTTTAGGCTCTCAAGCAAGGAATCATACCGTGGAGTCGGAAAAAGGCTCTCATGAAATCCGGAGAGTTCGCTGCCCTCCGGTAAGACCATTCAGCACATCGTTGTAGCTTATCTTTTACCAGATGTTGTTGTGATTTCAGGCATTCCATCAACCTTGATTGCACTTTACTAAACCGTGACTTTTACTGGGATCGCTCACAAATCGAGCAATACTACCTCATGTCCGCTCGACATTTCACACTCGGACGGCGAATAAGGTGAGTAACGGTTGCATCTGTGTGTTAGTACATTTGCGGTGAATTCTTGCAAACTTATCCTTTTTTCTATTAGCCCATTTTGGTGATTTTTACTTTCTAAACATGAATTGTGAATCATATGACGTTCCGCGTTTTTCCATGTTTGAATTTGAGCTCTCACACTTCACAACTGCTGCTTGAAAATTGTTATTTTTAGTGGCTTGAACAGACGCTTGGATTATTGCGAAGAGTTAGTGAAGATGGTAGACAATATGCTCGCTCTGCGGCATGTAAGTTTGATTTTCGTTGTTTTTTCTTCTTCTGACGCAGTTAGAGCTAATATATCACTGACTTCCATGCTTACCGTCCTTACTTTTTTGTGGGTACCTTCACATTCATAGCTTCGTCCCTCTTAGAATTATTGAGAGGGATGTCAATGATCACTCTTGACTCCTATAATGGCTCTTGTGATCTCCTCTCTTCAATCAATCGGTGTGTTCCTTATTTCTCGTGTCTCAAGTCTTTACTCGCCCACCCTAGTTTCTATAAACACCTTCCTGTTTCGATATCTCCCATGATCGTTGCAGTTAGTGACTACTGATAACATTTGTTGTATTATCTATTGTCATTACATGTTTTTTGAAACGGTGTCGAATATCTCACGCTGTTAGGAGGGATTTAATTGCCTAATTCATGATCTTTGACTAATAATGATTAAACTCCCCTGAAATAGTAATTATTTTACACTTCCAGGCCTCGACACTCGAGTGGATGATAATCGTTCTTATCGTAATCGAAGTGATCTTTGATCTTCTACATTACGCTGATTCTTCTCCCACGAAAGTTATAGTGGTAAAGGAGTCATTAGATACTACAAGTCCTTCCAGTGCTCAATAACGAGATTTTATTGGCTTGAGAAATTTCATTTTTAGTTTTCCTTTCATAAAGTAGTTTCGAGAGATTATTTTGTTTGCCTCATTTTATAGCGCTTGTTTCATATTTACGTCTCATTACTTTAAGTAACTTTAGCTTTGTTGTTCCACGTTGTAAAGTTGTTAGAGATCTGTAGGAATTCAGCCATATGCTTACATATCTCCGCTATAATCTACATATTTAAATGCTCACCACCAGTTGTAATCACTTCCTTCACCATAGATTTTCCTTGGAATTATGCTTTCACTGTTTCCTGATGACTTCTCTGATGAATAAGTTTGCCAGCGAAATCGTAGCATCTCTAGTCCCTGCTCGGTGATTGTTGATTTCACCTCAATTTCTACGTGGAAGTACTTTAATGAACCAGAAACTCCCTCAGTCTTAGGATCCAACATAGCTGTGTATCTGTTCGATGTTTCGTTTTAATTTGATGAAAACCAGGGTATGTACTTAGGTAATGTTGCCCAATTCTTGTTAATTATTCAAAAAACGTTAGGTCTGTTGATATTGTTACTTCGAGTTGTTACTTTTAAACTGTTCAACTAGTGTTTTCGTGTGTTCTTGAATGAGAGGCGTCTTTCACTTTGTATCTCAAGACAGTCAATTTCCCTAGGGAAATCAAGCTCGTCACATTAGAAGCAATCTCTCCTAATTTGTTTTGGGTGCAGCACTCTTTCTTCATTCCGCCGTCTTCTCATGGAATTCGCTTGCTTGCTTTCGATGTTACGGTATCGATTTCAAACGTTCTGTTCTAAATGATTTTCAGTATGTTGTCACGAGTATTACCGGTCACACGTGTAGCGTTGACACGGGCTAGCATTAGACTACTTACTGCACAGCCAGGTGATGAATTCACTCTTAAGGAATTCGGCGAGAAATATCTTGGCCATCGTAAGGTTAGCTCTCTTACAGTCTTTTTATTTTTACTTCTTTTTATTTTTTCAATTCCTACCACGAAATCTGTTCCTAAAACCGCTCTTACCTCTGGAAGTTGGGGTGCTTCATTTGTAATGTTGATCTTCTAATACCCCTCTAACTTTTTTGGCGTTCCGCAGGAAATTGCCTTGCTTTTGGGGGCATAGAAATTCCGTGGGTGATTGTTAACTGTAACGCGCTGTCCTATATATTTCGAGCCTGAAGTGACCAAATTCAGTCCCTGCGGGCTACGTCATGCTGCATTGTATGTATTTCGTTTCAGGCTGCATTTACCGAGAAATTAGAATTCGTCGACCCAGATACCGCTCCAGCTTTACCCATTTATAGAGTTAGTGATATGCAAGGCAACGTCATCGACAGTTCATGTGATCCTAATCTCGATAAGGTAAATTGATTGAATTTGTTGCTGTACACAATTTGTTGTACTCATGGAATTTATTCACTTTTCATTGTGATTACTTTAGGAAATGTGTTTGAAAATTTATCGCGACATGACTCAGTTGAGCATTATGGATCGTATTTTGTATGACTCTCAACGTCAAGGTCGTATCTCGTTCTATATGACTAATTTTGGAGAAGAGGTAATGAGTTGAACCCTCTCTACCCATTATTTTCGGCGAAACTTTTTTTTTGAATCTCACTTCCTGCGTATTTTCCTTGTACTTTTCAGTATTTAAGCCTAAGCGAGGAATTGTTGAGCCTACGGTGAGAAGGCCTCGCAGGAAGTCGATTTGGCCGCTCTTTAGGTCGGACAAGACAAATTCTCTAGTTTGATTTTTTAGGCCTTTTTCCTACCCTGTCCTGAGACTTTTCGAAAGAGCAAGTTGACTTAGTGTCAATTTATCGCAGAAGTTTGATATAATTGTTCCATCTGAAGTGCGCTTTTCGTCAACCTGGGTAAAAGTCTTCGCAGTTATTTTTAACCTTGCGGCTCTAGTTTGTGCAATTAAAGTGTTCAAGCTTTTGATTCTTTGAAAGCAGGCTAATGGGAATCGCGAAGTCCCTCATCTCTCATGTGGTTAAAAAATCGCATTTGAAGAATTTGTTTCTGCAGAACCCATATGAATTTAATTCTTTTGAAGTTGTCTGTTCCGTTCACGTGAAAGCCTTACTTTATCAACAGTGACTTATACAATTTCCCTCGGTTTAGTCATCAACAGCTCTTGAGAGCGAGTATAATTATCGAAGACATTGCTTGTCGTTGTTCTTGACAATGGCTGTTCTAAGTCAAATCTTCCAACTTCCTATTACAGGCATCTCATGTTGGTTCAGCTGCAGCGCTCAAGTTTGAAGATCTCATTTACGGTCAATATCGTGAGGTAGGCGTACTAATGTGGAGGAACTTCCCGCTAGAAAACTTCATGCATCAGTGTTATGGAAACTCTAAGGATATAGGTGAGCTCTACTTTAAATACTTTATGTCATTGACCTTTAACTTCTCATTATTGGACTTTTTTCTATTTTATTTGAACTCTAGTGTTTCAAAACATTCTACATTTATCAGGGAAGGGACGCCAAATGCCGGTTCATTATGGCTCCGTAGAACATAACTTCGTGACGATATCTAGTCCGCTCTCTACTCAAATACCCCAGGTCCAAAGTTTATTATCTTCCTTTTGGTAACTCAAAAATAAAAACCGGAATGTTTTCAGGCTGTCGGGACCGCATATGCATTCAAACGTAAGCCGAACAATGATCGTATTGTTATGGTTTATTTTGGTGACGGTGCTGCATCAGAAGGTGATGCACATGCGGCGTTCAACTTCGCTGCGACATTGGTAAAAACTGCCGTTGTTGTATTTATTGAAAGTTGGATCTGAAATTTGGATCTCATGTTTCGAGCATTCCTTAATTTTTCCTTCTTCTCAAATCTTTTTTCTTTCACGTTTTGACGTCTTTACGATTTGGAGTTCTCCAACTGCGAAGGTTACCTTACATCATTCCACATTTCTGGAAAGTTTTGAGCAGCAGAATGGCTTAATCTACTGAATGACATTTACGATACATTTTTTGTTACACATCGAGTAACTTTCTTTCTTGAATGATAATCACTGTAAGAATATCTTCCCACTTCTTTACTCGATTTTTTTTCTGAAATTACACTTCATCCATTGTAGTTACTCAGATTTGAGGTAAAGGTGAAGGTAGAACAGTGACCGGGGGTTCCTATCCTTATTT